AAATTGTAAATTCCATTCGCATTCGAAGCGCTCACTTTCAAATTGTTTCCAAGCAATGTGGAGGAGAAAAAGTCCAATTGATTAAATTTGTATCGCAGCAATTGTTGTTATGATTTTACTCTTTAACTATTACGGAATGTGTTCCGATTTTGCGGCCAATTTACAAAACAACTTCGAAGGTTATACGAAATTTAATATACACCGATTTCATTGGAATCAAAAACGCGCCGTTCAATGCTGCCCGCAGTCAACCACGCCAACTTCCTCTAAGCGCAAACTAAGCACACATACGCACACAGGCTCATATGTGTGTGTGTGTGTGCGTTTACTTCGTAACGCGAAATTTTCACATACGCGCATGCGCAAAAGCAGACTATAGCGTAGTATGAGCTAGCAAAACTAATAAGACACGAACAATGAAAATTAAGACAACGTATCGCGAGCAGCGGTTGCGGCGGCTGAGGCAGCGCCAAGTGATCGTGTGAAAATTACTAAAGAAGAAAAATTGCCGAATCTAATAGCGCTCGTGGTCGCGCACTCAGCGCAACAACACAAAAGAACAGCAAAGTAAAGTGAAAATGTACAAATTAAATGCCACAGCAACAACAAAAATACTCGCCAACATCCGCAACAACAACAGCAGGCACCACGGTGGCAGTGGCTTTGGCGGTGGCGTTGGTGGCAATGCCAGCATTAAAAGCGAAAACGTTTTGTATTTGCTTAAATTGCCGCAACACGCCAAGCGCATTTTGTTGTTGCCAATTTGCGGGGTATTTGCATTGTTATTACAATACTTATACAATACATAACAACTACATATACACACACACTGCGTGTGTTTTTTTTTTGTGCATGCCATTCGCGTATTTTGCGGCAGAACTGGGGGCGCGGAAGCGCGGCACCATTCTTCGACACCAGCGGCCACCAGCGTCAATCGCCGGCCACCTACCAACAGTCGGCGGCCATCAGCAACAAAGCTAACAGCTGTGTAGTAAATAAAAAACAAGAACAACAGTACCAACGGCAGCTATTCTTTGCTGTCTCTGCAGGCGATTCACGCGCCACCAGTTCACCTTTGCCATGATTCAGCGCGTTATGGCGACGCGTAAGTGACGCGGCCTGCGCCTGCCATACGATCGAAGTCAATTCTTGGCGTTTTATGCGGAGCATTTTCATTGGAGTGGGTGATTATTGGTAGTTGTTGTTATTACGAGTATTTTTGTGTATTTTTGCAAACAAAAGAATATTTTCAAAACTATTTTTCATGCTGCTTCAGTTGTTGCTATTATGTAAATGTTGTTGTGTTGCCTTGCGATCGCCACTTTTGTTATTGCGCTCTTGTTTGATTATGCTAAATGGCTTGCCAATCGCAGTGGACAGCTGTTCGTCTTTGTTCGCTGTATTTTAATGGCCAAGCACTGTGCTTATTAACTTTTTTAATGTATTCGCTGCGCTATAAACAACAATTTGCTTGGCAATTCTAACGCAATCAAGGATTTTCATATTCCCAGTGGCGGCAAATTGTGGTGTTGGCGGCGCCAAAGTGAATTATGTCGAGCGCTTTGATTAGGCGAAATTATTCTGATTTATCTTTATTTTATTATGCATAATCTATTCTCATTTACGATCAGCCTCAGCAAATTTTAATGAGTGCAAAGCGAAAATGTTGCGAAAATTCTGTGTAACTTCGTTCAGAGTTTTGCAGTGAAAAAGAAATCGTAAATTTCGAATTTATGTATTTATGTATTTAATTACAAATAATTGCGTTTTGCTTTACTAATTGCGCTCTCTAGCTGAACAAAAATGGTTTCAAAGATTCTTGAGATAATAAGTGCCATTAAAGTCATATAATTCAATGAAAATTATTGCAATAATTACCAACAATACCAACAACAACTTGTGAAGAAACTGTTGAAACATTTTGTTGAAAAGATCTCTCCCGAATAGGCAATCCTGAGTATAACATGTGGCATGAAAAGCTTCCATTTACTTAGAAGTTATAGTTAGTTTTGTTGCAGTTAGATAACTTTGAATTAGATGAGTTTATGAATGCACTGTGTGACCTATTTTCTATTGTGCCCTTTCCTATTAGCACAACACTTCATTTGATCCAGTTGAATAAAGAAGACTGTCTCACTGGATTCATTGTCCCCATAGCATGACGCCTTTTTCTTGTGACTACGCGACAATCAAGAAGTTTGTGTTCTGGTGTCTATGCCGCATGGTTGCAGAACCGACATTGAGCTGTAGAGCAGCATTCAAGCCTATGTGGCTGACACCTTAGCCTGTAATCCTACTAGCTGCCTAAATATGTTCCTGTGTAGAACAATTAGTTACTAGAATCTTATTGTATTTAACTCTTCCGGAAACAGCTTAGATGAAGTCCTGATCTACAGTCTCTGAAAATTTTGTTCAGATCAGCAGATATGCTATAGAATAGATAGCTGACCGATCAGAATCACGCTAAAAAAAACGTGTCTGTGAAGAGTATTAACATTTTTTCTTGTTTTTTTCTAATAAAATACATAAAACTCGCTTAGCAATCAAACGATTATTTGCAGTAAGTTCAGAAGCAACGAAGAAGTTCAGGCGTTAAAGAGTAAAGCATAATAAACGAATAGACGATCGCTACTTATTAACACTATTTTTGATTAGATATACTTTTATAGAATGTGTTGCACTAAGAACTGTTAAACTCCACCCTCTAGAAGTATTTCGTTTCAAATGAATCATTATTTCTACAGTCAATAAAAATTCGATTTAGAAACTGAAAATCTCTCAATCAGTGATTTGTCATTTGTTGTGTGTCATTGGTAGTTGCAAAAAGTGATTTACTATGACATCAAAACAAATTAGTTCAGCTTAATGTAATAATTAATGAATAGTGATATTCCCTACTTGATTAGCTAGTAAAATATTGTAATAATAACATTGCAATAACAACATATCCTTGAACAAATCTAGCAAACGGAATATAATAATATTAACAATTGCTTGGAGGGTCACTCTGTGGCACACATAAAGGGTCTTATATTGTATAGCTAATATTTCATTAATTTGTCAAAGCGCAGAAGAATAAATAAGGAATATAAAAACACTGTTATTAAATGAAATTATAGCACAGCTTATTGCTTGAGCGTAAGCCATTTATACAGAAAGCTATGCTTTTTCAGCAGCACTTGCCTTCACAGAGCTGTAACTCAACAGCAACACACACACGCACACAAGCAATCGCCAATGATTCACCAACGTGTGGAAGCATTCGAAGTGGAAACACAACCAAAGCCAATAAGCAGCCACGCGCATTTAAGAAATATTACAGCAAAAGTCTGGAGCGAACCCGCTGAAACTCGCTGTAAGTTGCTGTGGCACGACCTCGCGCGTTGCTTGCAGCCGCTCGCTGAGCGCCTGGTAACCTGTACGCTAAAGCTGTTGTAAGCGTTACTGCAGACGCTGCGCCACAACTGCGCCACTGCTCCAACTGTATTTATGCATTGTAAGCTGCTCGCGTGGTTGGCCAACAGATTTTTTTTCATTTTTATTGAATGACTCTCGCTGCCTGTTGGCCAAGTTTACTGGTGCAGCGCACGTTGCCTGAAAGTGAAACAATGCGAGCGAGCTACACACATATATTCATAGTACATATTGAGGCAAATAGCAGAGCCACTTGCAGAATTTTAATTTACTTTACCAAATGTTAACTACAATGGAAAGATTGCAGAAGGTGTTTAAGTATGCTTGTATTGGTGTATACACTCATACATATTTATAAATATTTTTGTGTTTTCTGAGGCAAATATTTTAAGCTTCGCTTTGAGAACTTTAATGCGATCATGTATGCTCTCTTGCTTAGAAGTTGCGCTCTTATAACTACTGGCTTGCTTGGCATTTGTGGCCTACACAAGTTGCCGTTTTAGGCATAAGCTTTTTACTGTTTACTTAAGTTTAGATGTTTGAATTTTTTCAAACCCCTCTTTTTCCATATAACTTTTAATTTCTCTTTAAAAACTTATTTCTTATTTTCTTTTTAGTAAGTGCTCTTTAAGAACTACAATTTTATAAATATTTTTTAATATTAGTTTCTGTCTTTAAAAAAAAAGCTTCGCTTAGTAAATAATTTTTTTTTTTTGGATCTAAAATAATTAAAAATTTATTGGTTTAAACCTGGCTTATAATAATCTTTCGTTCTTTACAAAACCTTTTTTGTGACCTAAATTAACTTAGAGCGTTTTGGTTGGAAAATAATTAGGGTTTTATAAGCGGCAAACATCAAAACTGACAACTAAGTTGATTCAAAAATGATTTTTTTTTGAATTTTTTTTACCTTATTAATTTTTTTCCATATAAAAGCAAGTACTTAAAGCTGAATCTGGTGGCGGGACACTTTATATCCAAAATTTCCTTCCATAAGAATTGTATAAAACCTCTGGTATTTTTTTGAAGTTTAGAATCTGATTAGCAATTAGACTTTTAAAAGGTTTCTTTAACATTTTCAAAAATATTTTCCAAACAAATAACATCCAGAAATAGATAACCTTGGAGCCAATTTTCTCCAAATCCGTTCCCGCAAGCAGTTTGAATGAGCTAAATCGGGTCTGGTAAACTGTTTATTGGAAACTATTTAAGTACAATCTTATAGAAATATGTCTGTGGATTCATAATCGTTTGACGAGTGCTTTTTGAGTTATTTTTTATTCCTTTGAGTTTATAGTTTTATTTCCAACAGAGTTTGAAGATAGAAAACATAGAATTATAGCTACGAATAATCGACCGAAATGTCTTAAGCTGAGTCCTTTGTGTTGAACCGAAAGAAAGAAATATTTAGCTGAGTATTAATTTATGTTCTGTAAAAAAATATATTCTGCTCTTTAAGCGCGCCTCTCTTAAATGACATGCTTCTCTCAATATGTTTGTCTTTTTCACTCAAAAGCTTGGCAGTCGAGCATATTAAATATAAAATAGTAAAAAATTCCCTCAACTCAAACATTCACTTTGTCTTAAGCCCATAAGTCCATAAGCCTTAACAGCCAGCAAGCACATTTTTGTGGAGCAACAAGTGGCCGCTGCAGCCGAGACGGAACTACCAACTTTATGTGCGTGTGTGTTTGTGCGACTATTGAGTGGTAGTTTGGCTTATGCACTCAAATGCCATACAATTTTTACGTCAAGGCTGTTCGGTCGCTGCATAGACGCTGTTAACTTAATGTGAACGCCAGCCGAAGAAACGAGACACAAGTTCGTTGCCGAAACGCGATGGACGAATTATATTTCTGCAAAGCGAATAGCAGCGACACGACAGTCGCGCTGTTATTAAGTTCCACCTAAGACGTTCGATCCATTTGAATACAGTCTAAGAAAAGTGCTCGTGTGAACAGCACCGAACGGCGGTGTTGACGGTGTTTTAAGACGTTACTTGGTTGGAATATATTTCAGAAGTTTGTTGGCCAACGTTGGAAAAGTTAGTAAAAAACAAAATTTTGTATGCATGTGTATTTCGAGAAATAAAATGTTTATCTAAAAAACAGAAGTGAATATGGCGTAAAAAACAATATATGCAAATATGGAATTACCAATAAAATAAAAATAAAAAACTACACCAAAAACATCAAAGTGAAATACTGCCAAAGTCTCCTTAAAAAATGTTTATTTGTTGTACTCAAACGGGAAATAATTAAAACTGAATATAAACTGTGTATTTTTTATATATTTGCTATAGAAGCAGTAAAAATATTTTTTAATAATGAACTTTAAAGTTTGAATTTTAATTTTCAAATATAAAATATAACGCCAAAAATACTTAAATTATAAAAAAGCTATATTAATACAGACAGAAACTTATTGCTTAGCTGTAGTGAAAAAGGACTACAAAGTTTAAAATTTTTAAAACAAAAAAAAACCAAATATATTTTAATAAACATTTACTTTAATGCGTTTTTCATTGAACTGAAAAAATGTTGAAGTTGCTATAAAAATTTTTTTATAAATAAATTAAATTTCACCTTTGAAAAATATAACAGCCTCTATTTCCGAGGCAACTTTATGTAAGAAAATTATGATTTTTTAACTATTAAAATTGCGTCGAAAATACGATTCAAAATAAATATATGTAAATTTTCTTAAAATAAAATATTAATTAAATAAATTTAAAAAAATTTAAAAATATGTTTCATTTAAAATCGGTCTCCTAACGAAAAAAAAATAAATAAATTTCATAAAAAGGAATTTTCAAATATGACTTAACTTTTCTAAGCTTGAAATGAAAAAAGTTCAAATAAATTTCTACAGAAAACGAAAAAGTTGTGATTATAGTAAAAAAAATTTTTATTGAAAAAATTTTAATTTGTTAACTAAAAATATTTTTTTGAAATATCAAAATCAAATTTTTCGATTTCTTCAGGTTTTTTGTAACAAAAAAATTTTTTTTTGCTTAAAATTATTTTTCTTGTTACTAAAATGATTTATTTGCTTGCTTAGAAAATAAATACTGATTTAATAGAAGTAAATGAAAATCGATTTTTGGATAATCCAAAATTGTAAAAAAGTATTGAATTTAAAGAGAAGAAAGCGAATTTTAGAAGAACATAAGTTTTCAATGCAAATCTTTCACAAAAATGTAAATAGTTTTTCTGCCAATAAAACAAAAAAAATTAAATCACATTTAATTTCCCTAAACATTTCAATTACTGAATAAAACTTGTGAGACTTTGGGTAAACTCAAGAAAATGCGCATTCAACTGCAACTTGCGCGCGAAAAGAAAGTTTTTTGCCACATGAATGTGCTGCCCGCTACGTCACCCAACAGCACAGCGCGCCTTGCGGCCGCAACAAAGTAATCCTCCTGCGCCGCGGTTGCTTAGCGTATAGCAGAGCAGTTGTTGTTGTTGGCTTGAGGCAGTTTTCACGTTTGTCTGCATTTCAATTTCATTCAGACGCGCAACACAGCGCATCGCCAACACGAACAATTTGCAGCATTTGGTGTAGTCAACTGCACTTGACGGGCAGGCGACAAAGCAGCGAAGACTTGGTGGCGAGCAGCCAGCAGTCGAACTGATTTTTCGAGTTTTCCAAACTTCTACCAGCCATTTGCGTTGCTCAGCTGGCTGACAGGCAACTTGCCACCAAGCCTTAGCTGCTAGCCGCCGATGGCTTGGCGGCTGCGGTGCGTTACACTTGCCGCATGTCGTCAACAGCGTAGACTACGAAATAACAACAAAAGCATTGCTGCAATCGGACGTGCAACGTGAGATTTCCATTACGATTTTGCAGCCGTTCGCATTTGCTGCCAATGTGTGCAACACAATGTGCGCCAACTGCAACAATAGCAAAAACAGCCGCAGCCACGCGCTGTCTGCGATAGCTTGTGGCTGATTGCGGCGCTTTCGTTGTTATTGTTGGCTGTTTTTCTTTTCTTTTGTGCTCCATTTTTCCAGATATTTCATGTTTTGCTCTCATTTTCAATTGCAGCAGCTGTGTGGCAGCAACGAATTCGCAACAAAAGTGTAAATAAAATCAAAAGTTGAAATAAAAAATAAAAAGCAAAAACAAAAACGCTAACGAAAATAAAAGCAAAGTGCGCAAGTTGTGTGTTGTAATCCAAAGTAAAGCAATGAGAGTCAGCGCGCGTTGCGAGCAGTGAGCGTTAATATTTGTAAATAAAACGTGGCATTGCAACAACAGTGTAGCAGAAACAAAAACAAAAAAAAAAATAAATAAATTTAATCAAAAATTGCAAAATCTACACGCGGCTTAGCTTTGCGTCAGTGTGTGGAAAATCTGAAGCGAACCAATATCAAACAAAGAAAACTAAATTAAAACGCAACGAAAGCGAGTAAGTGCAACAGATAAAAACGTCAGCAGTGAAAAAAGGTAAAACGTGAAATTACTGAATTCAGCGTCAAACGCGGAACGCCGAGTTTAACTGTCCACTCAGCGCGTGTGTAAGACCGTTGCTTACCGATTGCTCGTTAAATTTCGGCATGAACTGGAATCATACTAAATTATAAATAAAATCAACCAAACAACAACATAAACAACCACAAACAACTACCAAGCAACCAAACTAGCAATTTACGGTGTCGTTTTATTGCGACATTTCGCATTGCTGTGGGGCGTTCACAGCTTGCATTTGATTACTTTTTCGGCAATTATCCGCCTTTGGAACTATTCATTGATAGAAAATTACAAATAAAATGGGTTTATCGCGTGGATTTGTGGTGCCATTATGGTACTTGGCGTGCATTTGCTTCATCATTCAAACAGGTGAGTTGCATTAATCAAGCGGTTTTTTTATTTTTGCTTGCTTTTCTTGTTGTTATTGTGTATTTGCAAGACGCGCTTGATGTAGAATGCGAATTTCTTACATATTTTGTGGGTAGCAGTCAGTCTGTAGTGTGTTTGATTGCAGGAAATTAAATGAAAGCGTTGCGAAACAAAAGACTTAAGACACGAACTTGCCGGAAAGTACAGCCTGCTTGATATATTTATGAAATAATAACTTCTTTTGAAGAAAGCTAAAAAAAATTAAATTTCTTCACAGCTACTTATGCGCGTTCTAAGTGAAAGTGAAACCAAACCAAAAATATTTATATTTAAAAATTTTTTTCTCACAATAATTTGGTTGAAATATTTGTATAGCCTAAGTATGTATGCTAAGTTTGTCAAGTTTGTAAACCCTATAAAGTGTATCCATAAAAGATCGGCGTGACGATTTAAGCCGTACGTCCTATATATACACGAAGTAATCACTCAGTTTTTGAGAAATCAATCTGAAAGTAGCCTTACGTCCGTCCTTTTCTCCCCAAGAATGCTGCTTATTTGTCGGAACTGACGATATTGCACCAGTATAGCATATAGCTGCCATACACACTGATCTTTCAAGATCAAGTACTTGTATGAAAAATTTTTTATTTGACGAGATATCTTTCTTAAATTTGGCATTGATTACAACGCTACAATCTTCGAACAAATTATTCAAATCGAACCACTAATTTTCCAAATGACCCATCACAATCAGGATAAACAGATTTTTATAGCCATTATAATATAGTAATTCAGTTTACTAATCTTCATAAAAAAGAAGATATTTTTATACTACTTTTATTGTAGTTATTAAGTTTATTAATTCTAATCAAATAAAAAAAAAGATATAAAAAGATAGTTTTATACCGTGACCGAGATGGAGTGCGATTGAACTTGGGTCAGTCAAAAAAAGACTGCAAGTAATGCGCCAAACACTGAGTTTGAATTGCTGCTGCAGCAGTCGCTTGATCAACAGCGATTTAAGCGACGCCTCCGCTTGGCAATCCGCCGACCCAATATCCCAATGAAACGGCAAGGCAAGTGAGTTTTCTCAACAAAATACCTTAATATTTTCGAACAAAACTTGCTTGCCGAGTGGACTTGTACTACGGGGCGGGATTTCGGCACAACGCCTCGAAAACACGAAACATTTTTTTATTATAATCAAATTACCTGCAAATTAAACAACGCTTACACAGATGACAGCATAAGGTACAGCAGCAATATGTGTTACTGTGTTAACATGAATTTGTGTGTCTGTGACCGAAATAAAAAAAAGCCAGATTAAAAAGCTTCTTTGCTTATTTACCACCGCGCTAATCGAAAGAACAATCGTAGGGAGTTGGCCAAATGCAAATAAATTGAGCAACAAGACTGTGTGCATTTGCATGTTTGGCTGCGCTGCGCTATGCTATGTCATGGCTTATGCTACGTAGTGACGTTGCGTAGAATCCACAATGACAAATGACCAACAGCAACTGGTAGCTAACAACAATTGCACAGCAGTTTAACAAGCAGCGACGAGGAGTCGAGCGGAGTGCGGCTGCCAAACGCCTCCTGCACGCCAACAGAAATCAAGGCAGCAAGCAAAAGTGTGTTAATGTCATTGGAGGTTACCGTTGCTGTTATTGTTGTGCGTGTGTTTTGTTGTGTATTTTGTTGTTCTATTGTTGCTTCTTCAACGGCAGAATGCGCGGTCAAGTGATACAGGTTTTTAAACGCATTTTATGTTGTTTTGTTTTGTTGTTGCTGTTGTGTTGTTTGCTTCACAATTGTTGTAGGCAAACAATCAAACAACCAAAAACAGCTGTACATACAAATTGCTGAAAGCGAATGTTGGAAAAATAGAAATTAATCAAATTGAAGTGAAGAAGAGCTTCAGCGCCAGCGGTCTAGCTTTGTTACCACAACCAAATCGGCAGCTAAATTTCGGCAAAAATACTGAAATGTTAAATTAGTTGTATGGTTGGCTGCGGCTAAAGTGCCTATTGCGAATAAAATAGCAAAGAAAAAAATACAACAATAAATGTAAGATAATGAAACAATTGCTTTAAGCACGCGACTCAATGCGAAGCTGGAAGACGCAGCTTTCGATTTTTTTTAGTTTCATTGGAAAAATACTTTGGCAATTGCGTGATTTTTGTGTGTGTGTGTTGTTGCTGTTTTGTATTTTAATCCATAGGCTATTTGAAATCCTCAGTTAGGCTATTAGCAACGTTTGTGTTTATTTTTAAAATATTTTATCATTGACTCGTTAGCAAACCGAGATTGATGTGATTGTGAAATGTTTCTTAGAAAAATAGTTAATTAAATTTATAAACATTTGAATATAAGCTTCATATAATATAACGAACGCTTTTTTATTGCTTGTTGCTCTACGTGTATATTCAAATGTTTTTCAAGCCTCTCTGAAATTGTTGAGTCCATCTAGCACATGCTGTACTTACTCCTTCTGCGTATTAATCTTTGACTTAAGTGCCTGAAAAATAGCAAACAGAATATATATTATTTGCTGCCTGGTACTCCTGCAATAGAAATCTTGTTGTTGTAATAAACCTTTATATAAAACTGTAGTTTCATCGTTATCCATTTTATATACACGAAGATTTTCTAAAACATAAGAAAAACATATTTTAGGAAACGATGACGCAATTAATTTTTTAATTCCTGCGGCTAATTAACTTCATTATAATGTTAAATATAAAATTTGCATACAATTAGATGCAATTTTCTTATAGGGCGTGTACTTATTATTAAGAAAAATAACTATTCAGAAATTTTAGCTTCCATTAGAAAAAATTAAGTCTTAATTGAGTCAATTAAAAATATTTTAATTCATTAAAAATTGTAAACCATTAGAAATAATAATTTTGACTCAATGAATGAGTTGAGTCTTAATTGAGTCAATTAAAAAAATTTTTATTCATTAAATATTGTAAACCAATAAAAATAATAATGAATTGAGTCTTAATTGAGTCAATTAAAACTATTTTTATTCATTAAATATTGTAAACCAATAAAAATAATAATGAATTGAGTCTTAATTGAGTCAATTAAAAATATTTTTATTCATTAAATATTGTAAATCAATATAAATAATAATTTTGACTCAATTAAGACTATGTCTTTAATTCTTTTATTAGAGAAATAGAGCAGTTAGTATAAGAGGAGAGTAGTCAGATTTTGTTTTATTTTTGTAAATGAAGAGTCGAAAATCGGATTAAAATGAATTGTAACAAAGAAAGCAGTTTTGACTTTTATTGTTTAAAATTTTTCAAATCTTCAATACAGTTCCTTGCTAAGTCCAGCAAACATGATTGCAGTTATTCACTTATTGCGTTAAAATTGAGTTCTATAAATTTATGGGCAAACCAATTTTATTTTATTTTTTATCGATTGCTGCACCACTTCCCTTGAGTATGCACAAACATGCTTATACTTACATATGTAAGTGCAACCTGACAATAATTGCGCTGAAATATTTGCATAAAATAATATTAATAAAAATTTTCTCACCAACTCGAGAGGCATGTTATCTATATATATTGTAGTATATGTTAATTAAAAATATGTGCATATAACGTTATACATATACAGTTATGCTCAACCGAATGAAGTAATGTCTTCAATACATATGTTAATCACAAGCTTTATGCGCCTGTGTTTTTCGCGCCTTCAACAAAAGCATGTTGATTTTTACTGTTTTAACTCAAGTGTTCGAGTGTGCATGAGAGTGTTGTGCTTTTAGCGCCTCTTCTCTGCCACTTTACAGTTAATTTATGCACAAGCCCGTGGTGTTGCTTGAACTATATTTTCAAACATTGACTTCTCACTATTGTTGTTTGCTGCCGCTGCTGCTTTACTGCTGAGTATATCACTTACACTTCCTCAGCGTTGTTGTTGTTGTTGTGTGAAGTGAAAACATTTTGAAAATCGTCTAAAACAATTTCGAGTGATTACAGAGCTTATTGCAAACGCAAGTGCCGCTAACGCCGCGAATTCATCAGTTTAATTTGCTTTCATTTTTTTATGATTTTTTGTTATTGTTGTGGTTGTGTTGTTGCCTTGCGGTTTTGATGTTTGTTGTGGCGACGCAAAATGTTTGAAGTCATTGCACTACTCATCGCCATTGCTAATTAATCAACAGAAATTAAAGCGCACATAAAGGCGAAATGCAAGGCAATAGACACGGAGAATACAAATTCATAAACAATACAAATATTTATACACCGTTAGGTATGTGTGTGTGCGTGTGGCAAGGGTATGCAACTTGTGGTGTATTAAATACGATTTTGAAATATATGTGTTGTGGCAGCTTTGGAGTTGGAAAATATCAAACGTTGCATAGCTGCACCACCGGCACTTGTTGTTGTTGTGGTTGCAAGGCACCCAGCGTTAATGTAGTTGCACGGCCAAACATGTGTTGCACAATATATTGGCATTTGCTTTGCACCACAAACAGTTGCAGCTCTGCCGCGAGTACGTTCATCTCGAACAACAACACAAACGAGCAAACACACAAACACACATGCGATTTTATGCGTTTTTCGACTGCGCCTACGCTTTTCAGGCATTTGTGTTTTTACTTTTATTTTTTTGTTGCCGATTTAGTTTCATTTAAAATTAAACTTTATTCAGCGGCTTCTTCATTTTTGTAGCGTGTCTTTTTGTTCGCTGCTTTAGATTGGGCAATTGTTTAATCTGAAAGCGCATTGCCATTGCCACTTCGTTTGTTGAATATAATAATAGTGACAGTTGAAAAATGCTTAAATAATAACAGCAAAACCTACAAAACGTTCGAAACGCATTAATTTCGTTTATCGAATTGTCGTCAATTGCAAATGTCAATAGCGAAAGCGAGCAGCAAAGTGATTTTCACGGTCAACAGAAAGTAAAAGTGCTGAGGCATCTTTGCTACCACAATTTGTTTACCGCGTTGCTTGCGGTGTCGTTTCCGGCTA